ACTGGGCAGTTAGCTGGGTCGAGCTGGCGGTCTCTACACCAGGAAGTGAAAAGCTTCCACTTCAAGGCGTACAGTTTCCTCGTGGAGGGAGCTCTGGATTGGAGGATGGTCTCAACAACCTCAGTTGAGAGACCGGAAGCTACTAGTTGTGCCCCCTCAGGGGCCACAGCCATAACTTCCACAGCTCCGGGCGGGGGTGAAATATCGTGCCCTCCGCCTGTGAGAGGAGGTCCCTCCTGACGGGAATCTCCCATGGAGAGCCGTCGAGAAGGGAAATCAGGTCCGAGAACCATACTCGGCCCGGCCAGAACGGGGCTACTAACAGTAAGCGGACTCCGTCCTGGCGCACTCTCTCCAGAACTCCTGGGAGCAGAGCGATCGGGGGAAAGGCGTACAGGCGAAGCCTCGGCCACGTCTGTACCATGGCATCCAGCCCCAGTGGAGCTGGATGAGTCAGAGAGAACCAGAGGGGACATTGCGATGTCTTCTGAGTCGCAAACAAGTCCACCTGAGCCTGGCCAAAAATACTCCATATCTGCCTCACCACCTCGGGGTGAAGCATCCATTCCCCGGGCCTCGGCCCCTGCCTCGACAGGATGTCTGCTACCACATTGAGATGCCCAGGAATGTGCATCGCTCTCAGCGAGAGGAGCCTCTCCTGGGACCACACAAGGATCTGGTGTGCCAATTTGTATAAACGGCGCGAGCGCAGACCTCCCTGGTGGTTTATGTATGAGACCACCGCTGTGTTGTCGGTGCGCACCAACACATGGTGACCTCTTAGGTCTGGGAGAAAGAGTTTCAGAACTCGAAACATGGCCAGCATCTCCAGACAATTGATATGCCAAGTCAGATGGCGACCACTCCACAGACCGCGGGCAGGGTGGCCACTCATGACCGCACCCCAACCGGTGAGGGATGCATCTGTCGCTAGCGTCACGCGGCGACAAAGAGCTCCCAGCACCGGGCCCTGAGACAAGAACCAAGGTTTCCTCCACATGTCTAAGGCACGTAGGTACCTCCGCGTGACCTTGAGCATGCGAAGCGGGTTTCCCCTCGGGGAGAACCCCCTGGTCTTGAGCCACCACTGTAGGGGTCTCATGTACAGCAGGCCAAGAGTTAACACGTTGGACGCAGCTGTCATCAGCCCAAGCAGTCTGGAACTGCTTGACAGTGAGTGACCGGCCTTCTCTTACTCTCGCGACTGAGGTGAGGATCGACTCGATCCGAGCAGGAGACAAACGTGCCTGCATCGTGGTCGAATCCCACACCACGCCCAGATAGGTGGTTCTCTGTAATGGAGAAAGCACACTCTTCTTGGCGTTTAGTCTTAACCCCAACTCTCTCATGTGAGCGAGAACAACATCTCGATGTCGAACCGCTATCTGCTCTGAATGAGCTAAAATCAACCAATCGTCGATGTAGTTGAGTATGCGGATGCCCTGGAGTCGCAACGGAGCCAGAGCAGCATCCACACACTTCGTGAAAGTACGGGGTGAGAGTGCAAGGCCGAAAGGAAGAACACGATATTGGTACGCTTTGCCCCCAAAAACGAACCTCAGGAACTTCCTGTGATGAGGAAGGATGGAGATATGGAAATACGCGTCTTTCAGATCGATCGTGACAAACCAGTCCTCGGACCTGATCTGAGACACGACTTGCTTGAGTGTGAGCATTCTGAACTTCAGTCGCATGACTGAGCGGTTCAATAGGCGCAGATCTAAAATGGGACGCAGCCCCCCATCCTTCTTCGGAACAATGAAGTAACGGCTGTAGAACCCGGAGTCTATCTCGTGCTGAGGGACCACCTCGATGGCCTCCTTCCTTAAGAGAGTAACTACTTCTTGTTCTAATACCAGAGCCTGCTCGGGACCCACTAGCGTGGGGGTGACCCCGTTGAATCGAGGCGGACGAGAACCGAACTGGATTCCGTAGCCTCTTTCTACAGTACGCAGGACCCATTGAGATACATTTGGCAGTAGCTTCCACGCTGCTAAATAATCTACTAAGGGAATCAGTCTCTCGAGACTGATTTCTGGTGTGCCCAGAACGGCTAGTTCGGTGCCTTGAAGCGTCTGCACGCCGACAGGGGACAACCGAACTAGCTGCTCTGGGGACCTCCGCAGAGGCCGCGAGCCTCTCAGTGCCGCTACGTTGCCGGGCGGTAACTGACAGATATGCTCGCTGGAGACCGCTGCGCCCTGGAACACGGGCAGGGTTGGCAGAACGATCTCCCGAGGGCACTGGGGGGAGATGGGCACCGTGTAATGCGGTGTGACCCTCTCTGCCCCAGAAGGGCCTGCCCTCGCTAGTCCTACACTCAAATAGTAAGGACCGTTTGGTCTAGGACCTCTTCGCCTGAAGGACGGTCCGCAGATCCGGCTTAGGCTTCGAGGCCCCCAACCCAGAGCGCTGCTTCTGCCTCCGGTCCCGACGCGGGGGAACACGGGTGGCAACGCTCTGTTTTTGCGTCTCCCTATGTGAGGAGCTGGTACGCGGTGGGGACTGCTGCCGCCCAGCAGCCCCCGGAGCTGAAATACGGCGAGGAAGGCACCGCTGAAACTCCGCCGCTTGTTTTCGAGCCTCCTGGTCCCTGTCGACGACTGAATTGACAGCGTCGGCGAACAGGCCAGAAGGCGCAAGCGGGGCGTCGAGGAGGAAGACCCTGTCTTTTTCTTTCATATCCGACAGGGTTAACCACAAATGCCTCTCTGCTGTCACCATAGCTGCCATCAGCGGTTCTCCTTAACTCTGCGATATTATCAGAGCTAAGCTCCGACAGCTAGCTAGTGTCTGTTCAACCCGGGGCATCGCCTTATAGCCACCCTCAGTTAGCCCTGCCACATTTCCATAATAATCTGAGGCAGGGATGAATAGGCGGGCCGAAAAAGGCCTGGCCCTATTATCATGAGATCACGTTGGGCTGTCACGTGATGAACGAACGACTCAAACCCGAAGACTCGAGAGATGAACTAATCAATTCTCTTTCTGGCTCAGACTGCATTGGTTAAGTTTATGGGTCTGTCACGTAATGAACGAACAACTCAAATCTGAAGACTTGTCAGATAAGAGGTTAGGTGAGCTAATCATAGACTGAAGACCCAGGTAAACAATTAATTAATCTTTTCTGTTTCTTATAGCAGTTTTGTATTGTTTGTAGTGTGATCAACGTTTGCGTAAGTAGTAGACGTGTTAGGGAAGTAACACGTAACATTTTAATTATATTTTGCTAAAATGAACGGAATGACTCGAAAAAAGATTAGTTCATTTTGCTGAACGAGACTCAAAGGTCAGAGTCCGTAAAATGATCTGAACTTCCCATCACTAGCACGTTCTTCTGTTCTGGGAAAAAAACAAACACTCTTTTAGCACCACTCAGTGGACATTTCACATCGAATATGTCACGAATCGTACATGGCGGTACGTATTTTGCGTCTTGCAAAAACGTTCCCACAGGTACGTTTTCGTCATGAGATCAGGCTCAATGTTAATGGCCAATTTATTTATTTATGCTCTGTTGAGTTGAGTTTGAATTGAATCAAATCAATTGAGTGAATGATTCAGTGATTCACTCATGATTCACACAGTAGCTGAACTCGGAATAGCATAATACTCTTACTATTTGTGCCATATAAATATACGAAGACAGTAAGTGATCACACTGCAATTTAATATGGTTGTATGGAAAACATCATAATTTAATTTTTGATAATAACTTAATTGAAATTTTCACTGTAATATTTACTACAAATCAGGGGCTGTTTTCTGCAGTCCTTCAGAGAAATACGCAGATTCCCTATAGCGTGCAAAAGACATTTTCACAAAATGCTCACATTTAAATTAATATATTATACACATCTCTTTGTTTGGGCTGTGTTGACAAATTTATGTTTTGTAAAAGTTACATATTTTGTCTTCAAAATGGTGAAAGACCAAAAGGTAGTCACAGACTGTGATGATACATTCATGCAGTATTTATGACAATTTTTTAATGTAAAAAAGGAGTGTTTCTGCTACTGAGGGAGTGACTATAAATGTAACTTTTTTTTCTCTTCTGATTGTGGTAATCCATATTATATCCATATTGTAGGATAAGGGTAAGATGATAGAAAATACAGTTTGTACAGCATAAAAACCATTACGTCTATTGAATTTCCCCATAAAACATGGAAACCAGTGTGTGTGTGTGTGTGTGTGTGTGTGTGTTATTTTTATTCTTATAACAATATTAGATTTGCAATATTCATGTCATATGTCAAACTCCACTAGTATTCATTTTAAATCATGTGCTGCTTTTGTGATGGGCTGAGCACCTGTCTTCAGATCATTTGAAATCAGTCACTTAAAATTAGGCAGCTGCATATAGGCAAGAGGGATTGGATCAGAACAAATGTGTCATCTTTCTTTTTTTTCACCAGTGACTAAGCTGCAAAGGGGTGTGTCCTAAACAAAGAACTATTATTTTTTGTCTTTTTGTGAAACACTTAACATCAGATAATATTTCACAAAAGCAACTCTAAATTTACTCCTTTCTTCTACTCTTCACCTTGCTTTGTATTAAAGGTATTACAGTTTCACTTGGAAAAAGAACTGAAAGTGATGCTCATGGTTTTGACCATTTATAATAGACAACGTAACCTGTTTTTGTTAATATATCTTTGTATTTCCAGCAGATTTCAGTGATGGTGTTCTGATCACTCAATGGCTGAAGTATATATCCAGTCTTCCAGGCTCTTCAGTTGAAATGCACTGTTACCAGAATGATACAAACTATGACTACAAATACTGGTACAGACAAATAACAGGAGAACAACCAGTGCTTATTGGGAGCTACATTGTTAACTCTGGCTCGAATGAGAAGGAGTTTGAGACCGGCTTCATAATGTCAGGTACAGAGAAAAAGAAATGGACCCTGAAAGTGGATGTTAAGGAGGGGATTGATGCTGTGTATCTGTGTGCTGCTAGTTTACACGGAATAAAGGGCATTAAATTATACAACAAAAACTCTTTGGATGGCAACCTGCAATCACACCTGCCTCAACCACAAATAAATGAACCCATCTATACAAACAAGTCAGTAGAACAAGAGAACTTGCGCAAACAGATTTCATTAATGACAAGTATAAACTCCTCCCTTCCACCAAAAACACATTTGCATCAAGGTCTCGATGATATTGTACAGTATATACAGTAGGGGGAGATACGACTATTTATTTAATCAAGTTTTTTCTCTCATTTCTTTAGCACAGTGTCATACACTCTCTCTTGTCACATTATTTTTTGCTGCATAACCAGAGTTTTTGTACACTGTTTTAGAAGGATGTTTGAAGGTGCATTTGGACTCTGCATATTTTTCTTATTGTACATAGGTAAGATGCCCTTCAGTTATTACTCTTTATCATGTTTGTTATTGTCATTTCCTTTGAAACAGAATATCTCTCAAAGCCTATTTTTATTTATTTATTTTTGTTCACAGGTATGGGGAGATGTGTGAACGTTCAACAAAACCTGACTCCCTTATTATTTAACAAGAATGATATGGCAGAGATAATGTGTATATATGATGACAGTGGCAAGCCAAACATGTTATGGTATCAGCAGAAGGATACAGCCATGGCCTTAATCGTGTTAAGTTATGGTGCTGGAAGTGACCATATCTATGAGGATGGATTTAAAGGCCGGTTTGAACTGAAAAGAACAGATACGCTGAACGGAGTTCTGAAAATCTCTGATCTCAGTCAGTCAGACTCTGCTGTTTATTACTGTGCTGTCAGTATGCACAGTGCTGTAGTCTTTATTGCCTGCCTGACTAAAAACCAAACCACCAGGCATACAGGAAATACACAAAAAGGCAGTCTAACATTTGTGAGATTCAGTTGTGACAGTAATGAAAAGACTTGTTGCAGCATTTAATTTCTACATGAAAAAAATGAATAAAAAATGTGTATGTCCTATCAGTGTTTAATAGAAAACACAATCAGATATAAGCTTTGCTCCAAAACTGAGTACAGGACCTAACCAGACAGCCTTTTAAAGCATGTGTGCTGGCCAACTTAACGTATCCTTCACAGATAATGCAATACCAGAATGCATTGCAACAATATCTGTGAAACATCCAAGATGTGGATGGAGTAAAGAGAAATGTTGCCAGTAAATACTTATATTTGATGCAACATATCAATACATTAATTAAGCAATATATCACCCTAGCAAGAGAGTTCTTGCAGCCTACTATAGGTAATCATATACAGCAGGTAATATACGTAAACTAACATTTTAGAATGTTGATGACTACTTTTGTTGTTGTTTGTTTTGTTTATGCTCCATCAACAAAAATAGTTCAATTCATATCCACAGTGAAATATCCTGTTGTGCTGTGCATCTCCAAGCAACACACAGTAGTGGCGTTCTGAATGAACAAATTGGTTGAGTGAATGATTCACTGATTCACTGATTCACTCATAAAGGCGTATGGAAATTACTTATTTTGACTTCAAAAATGGTGACATTTACCAAAAGGCAATGACTTTGTACCTACTTATAATTTGCACCCACAATAATTGTGTAAAAATATATTTGCCATGGTTTCCCATTTACCTGTAAGTAAGTTTACCCTGCTATAGTATACAACCACGTTCCAAACGTCATTGTGAAAAAGGGCCCATATTTAAGGGTGTGCTATTTTTAATCACATTACAATATTCACTTAAAACATGCTGATGTTGAACTCCACTAGTATCCGTTGTGAATCATGCACTGTTTTTGCTGTGAGCCGAGTTGCTGTCTTTATTTGAAATCAATCTCTTAAAAGAAGGCAGTTGCTTATGTAGGCAAGAGCTTTTGGAACAGATCAAAAGTGCCCTCTTTTTTCCACCAATGACTAAGCAACAAAGGGGTGTGGCTTCATAATATATGAAGTACTATTTTTTATTTTTTTTGGAATTAACTGAACATCAGAGAACATTTCACAAAAAGCAACTCTAAATGGACTCATTTCTTCTCCTATGCACATTGCTTTGTCTAAAAGGTATTACATTTTAACTTTAAATAAGAACTGACAGTGATCTTCATGGTTTAGAATAAATGTACTGTAGATTTCTAATGAAAAACATATCCTGTTCATTACTATATCTTTGTATTTCCAGCAGATTTCAGTGACGGTGTTCTGATCACTCAATGGCCGAAGTACATATCCAGTCTAACAGGCTCCTCAGTTGAAATGCACTGTTACCAGAATGATACAAACTATGACTACAAATACTGGTACAGACAAATAAAAGGAGAGCTAGTGCTTGTTGGGAGCTACATTGTTAACTCTGGCTCGATTGAGAAGGATTTTGAAAGTGGCTTTACAGTGTCAAGTACAGAGAAGAAGAAATGGACCCTGAAAGTGAATATTACGGACGGGATTGATGCTGTGTATCTGTGTGCTGCTAGTTTACACAGTGAATAAACGCTAATAAATTGTACAACAAAAACCCTTTGGATGGCAACCTGCAATCACACCTGCCTCAACCACAAATAAATAAACCCATATCTTTACAGACAAGTCAGCAGAACCTTACAACTCGCAAATACAACTGCATTAATCATGTTACACTCCTCCCTTCCACCAAAAACACTTTCACACAAAGGTCTCGTTGATATGATACAGTCAGTAGGGGGAGATGTGACTGTCTATTTTAATGTACAGGTATTCCTCTCTTTCTCTGTCTATACTAAAGTCTTGTACTCTCTCTCACTTGTCAGATTATTTTTGCTGTGTGCACGACCAGAGTATTTTTAATGCTGTTTTAGAAGGATGTTTAGAGCTGCATATGGACTGTGCATTTATTTCTTATTATATATAGGTAAGATGTCCTTTGACAGCAGATTGATCACATTAGTATAACTATATATCAATTATGTTATTGGTCTTTGCTTTTAAAGAGAATATCTCTTAAAACCTATATTTTTTATAGATTTTATTGATTTTTTTCACAGGGATGGTGCGATGTGTGACCGTTCAACAGAACCCGACATCCATGTTAGCCAACAAGAATAAAATTGCAGTGATAAAGTGTAGTCATGATGACAATAACATGGATTACATGCAATGGTATCAGCAGAAGGATACAGCCATGGTCTTGATCGTGTTCAGTTACGGTGCTACAGGTGACCCCAACTATGAGGATGAATTTAAAGACCGGTTTAAATTGGAAAGAACAGAAACACTGAATGGAGTTCTGAAAATCTCTGATCTCAGTCAGTCAGACTCTGCTGTTTATTACTGTGCTGTCAGTATGCACAGTGCTGTAGTCTTTATTACCTGCCTGACTAAAAACCAAACCACCAGATAAACAGGAAATGCAATACATACAAAAGAGGAATCTAACTTCTGTGAGTTTCTTTCTTTTTTTCAGGTTTTAATTTCTACAAAAAACAAAGATTTTTGTACTTTCTATCAGTTTTTAATAGAAAACACAATCAGATATTAGCTTTCCTCCAAAACTAGTAAAAACCTACCTAGACAACCTTTTAAGGCATCATGTGTGCTGGCCAAATTTTACAGTAACACATGCTTCACAGATAAAGCAATACCAGAATGCATTGCAACAATATCTGTGAAACATCCAAGATGGTGGATGCAATCGAGAGAAATATTGCCAATAAATACTTACATTTCTTGCAACAAAAACCAAGTCAAATCCACAGCAAAATATTCTGTTGTGTTGTGCATCTCCATGCAACACATAGTAATGGGTTCTGAATGAATGAATTGGTTGAGCGAATTATTATATATAATGAGCCAGGCACATTTCCAAATAGCTCGAGTTCCAGTGATTGCCCTGCATTTTCATTTATGGAAAACATCAGAACTGACTTTTTGAAAATAACTTTACTCCGATTTTCACTGTAATAAATACTACAAATTTGGGGATATTTTTTTGTAGTCCTTCAGGGAAATGTGCCACACCTGTGACATACAGTAGATTCCTTAGCTTGTGTGTTCAACCAAGTGGTAAAATACATTTTCACGAAAGACTGACATTTAAATTGATTTATTATTGATTTGAAATTTACCCAAAAGTGATGACTTTGTGTCTGTTAATAATGATTATGCTAGTAATGATTTGTACTTTGTAAAATTTGTAATTTGTAATAGTGAAAAAAAAAATATATATATTTTAGACATGGTTTCCCATTTACCTGTATGTAAGTTTACCCTGCTATAGTATACAACCACATTTACAACAAATGAAAAGGGTCCAGATTTATGTGTGTGTTATTTTTATTCTCACTACAGTATTAGCTTTGCAACAAGCTATTGTTAAACTTCACTAGTATCCGTTAAATCGTGCAGTGTTTGTTGTGGTGAGCTGAGTTGCTGTCCTTATTTGAAATTATTCACTTAAAAGAAGTCAGCTGCTGACGCTTTTGGAGCAGAACAAAAGTGTCCTCTTTTTTTCCACCAATGGCTAAGCAACAAAGGGGTGTGGCTTCATAATACAGTATATGAACTACTATTTTTTTTCTTTGTTTTTTGTAATTAACTGAACATCAGAGAACATTTCACAAAAAACAACTCTAAATGGACTCCTTTCTTCTCCTATTCACATTGCTTTGTCTAAAAGGTATTAAACTTTAACTTGGAATAAGAAATGACAGTACTCGTGGCTTTGAGTAAATGTCCATTTATAATGAAAAATATTTCCTGTTTTTGTTCATTTATCTTTGTATTTCCAGCTGTTTTTAGTGATGGTGTTCTGATCACTCAATGGCCGAAGCACATATCCAGTCTTCCAGGCTCTTCAGTTGAAATGCACTGTTACCAGAATGATACAGACTATGACTACAAATACTGGTACAGACAAATAAAAGGAGAGCTAGTGCTTGTTGGGAGCTACCTTGTTGCTTCTTCCACTAATGAGAAAGGTTTTGAAACCAATTTCACAGTGTCAAGTACAGAGACTAAGAAATGGACCCTGAAAGTGGATGTTAAGGAGGGGATTGATGCTGTGTATCTGTGTGCTGCTAGTTTACACAGTGAATAAATAACAACAAATTGTGCAACAAAAACTGCAATAACAACCTGCAATCACACCTGCCTCAACCACAAATAAATAAACCCATATCTGTGCAAACAAGTCAGCAGAACCTGACAACTTGCACATACAAATGCATTAATCATGTTACACTCCTCCCTTCACATAATGCTTGCAAATGTGATACAGTCAGTAGGGGGAGATACAACTGTTTATTTTAATGTACAAGTTTTCCTCTCTCTCTGTCCATACTAAAGTCTCATACACTCTCTATCATCACATTATTTTTGCTGTGTGCATAACCAGAGTATTTTTAACGCTGTTGTAGAAGGATGTTTAGAGCTGCATATGGACTGTGCATTTATTTCTTATTATATACAGGTAAGATGTCCTTTGACCGCAGATTGATCAAATTATTATAATTGATCATATTTGTTATTTTTCTTTGCTTTGAAAGAGAATATCTCTTAAAACCTTTTTTTTTTTTGTTCACAGGCATGGTGAAATGTGTGAATGTTCAACAGAACCCAACACCCATATTAGCCAGCACGAATAAAATGGCAGAGATAAAGTGTAGTTATGATGACAGTAGCAAGCCTTACATGTTATGGTATCAGCAGAAAGATACAGCCATGGCCTTGATCGTGTTAAGTTATGGTGCTACAGGTGACCCCAACTATGAGGATGAATTTAAAGACCGGTTTAAATTGGAAAGAACAGAAACACTGAATGGAGTTCTGAAAATCTCTGATCTCAGTCAGTCAGACTCTGCTGTTTATTTCTGTGCTGTCAGTATGCACAGTGCTGTAGTCTTTATTACCTGCCTGACTAAAAACTAAACCACCAGATAAACAGGAAATACACACACACACAACAAAAGCAATTCATCGTCTATATTTTAAAGGGTGTAATCTCTATATTTAAACAACTCTCTGTCATTGTTTAATAGATGACACAATCCTAGAAATATATACAAGCTTTGTTACAAAACTTGGTAAGCTTTGTTAGAAAACTTAGGCCCTGTCCACATGAACGCAGTTATTTTTTAAAACAGCAGCTTTTTCTACGCGGTTTGGCCAAACATTTTTGAAAACGCCTGCCAGGGTGAAGATTTTCAAAAACTGTTGCAGTGTTATCGTGTAGACAGCGAAACCGGAGGTTTTGGCTTGTGACGTCGGAGCCTGCGCTGTTATCTCCGCCTACTGGAAACTTTTTCAGGCTTCTGATTGGCCAACATGGCTTTACGGTTGAGATTATATCGCCACCTGTTGGTTTGGCATGCTCTTGACAGTGCTTCATAGCATGCGTTTGCGTTTTCATGTGGAGATTTGTTTAAAAACGGAAGAAGGAAAAACTTCGTTTTAAAAAATACCCGTGTACGAGTGAACATGGCCTTAGTAAATGTCACACCCATGGACCTTTTTGTTGTGTTTTCTTCCCTCATGTGTTCATTGACCTAGTTTCTGTCTCCACTTGATTGTGTCATTCTGTTCACCTGTGTTGAGTAAATTAAGCCTTTAGTCCAGGGATCCTCAAATCTGGCCCACGAGATCCACTTTCCTGCAGAGTTTAGCTCTAACCCTAATCAAACACACCTGAGCATGCTAATCAATGTCTTCAGGATCATTAGAAAATCACAGGTAGGTGAGTTTGATCAGGGTTGGAGCTAAACTCTGCAGCGCATTGGCCCTCCAGGGCAAGATTTGAGGAACCCTGCTTTAGTCCCTCATTTGCCTGTGTATACGTTTCCCTGTTTTTGTGCCTAATAAGACACCTAATTTTAGCCAAATTATAAGCTTGCATGTGTCCTTCAATGATACTGCAATCCCAAAATGTATTACAACAAGCTCAGAAACATCCAAGATGGTAGATGGAGTTGAGAAAATGATTGACAATGAATGCTTACATTTAAAACAACACCAAAACATGTTGATAAAAACAGTTAAGCAACATCATAAAAAATAGAGTTCTCCTGCTGCCTTGTGCCGCAGGTAATCACAATCATATTGATTTTTTTTTTTTTTTTTGGTAAAACAACAAATTGTGAATGCAATATTGCTGTTATACAACAGTCCAACTGAACATGAAGTTAATACTGAGTAACATTAGACACGTTTTTTGCTCTTCCAATGAAAAAAGCTACAAGTCACATTAAGCTACAGCAAAATGTGCCATAGTGACCAACAAACATAGTGCCAATCCTGAATGAAACAATCAGTTGAGTGAATTATTCAGTGACTCACTTACATTGTTGAAATAACACACTACTCTTATTATTTCTGTTATGTAAAATATAAGAGAAATAGAAAGACTAGTATGCTGCTACTGGTTTAAATTCAACCAGTCACTTGTTTCTGAATGAATCAGCATACAAATATGTTAAATGAACTGCACAAATAGGTTTAATGAATGATTCCATGACTCATTCATAAAGACAGCCACTTGACCCCATATCAGTGTAACTTCTCTCTTCTTTATTTCTGCTAGAAAGTTGTAGAATTGTAATATTTGTTACCTTTGTGTTCTAAATATCATAAATCTGAATATTTGTGTGTACTATGTATCATTTATTCTCATTACAGAAGTAGAGCATTTGAAATCAGTCACTTAAAAGATTCTTGATAAGATATTCACTCAGAAGGCAGCTGCCTACATAGGCAAGAGGTTTTGTAACAGAAGAATAGTGTGACCTTTTTTTCCACCAATGATTAAGGAACATAGGGGTGTGGCTTATGGAAATAACAACTACTTTGTGTAGTTTGTCTTTGTGTAATCAACTGAACATAAGAAAATAAACTCTAAATGGACTCCTTTCTTCTCCTATTCACATTGCTTTATCTAAAAGGTATTATTTTAACTTTGAAAAACTGGCAGTGATTCCATTTTCTTCATGTTGACCAAATGTGGATTTCTGATAGACGACATAACCTGTTTTTGTTTTTGTATTTCCAGCAGATTTCAGTGATGGTGTTCTGATCACTCAGTGGCCAAATTACATATCCAGTCTTCCAGGCTCTTCAGTTAAAATGCACTGTTACCAGAATGATACAGACTATGACTACAAATACTGGTACAGACAAATAAAAGGTGAAGGACCAGTGCTTATTGGGAGCTACAATTTTAACTCTCCCACTAATGAGAAGGGTTTTGAGACTGGCTTCACAATGTCAGGTACAGAGACAAAGAAATGGACCCTGACGGTTGATGTTAAGGAGGGGATTGATGCTGTGTATCTGTGTGCTGCTAGTTTACACAGTGAATAAATGATAATAAACTATAAGACAAAAATTTTGATATAATAATTGATATAAATAAATGAACCCATATCTTTCCAGACAAGTCAGTAGAACAAGAGAACCTGCACATTCAGATTTCATAATGATGATATACTCCTCCCTTCCACCAAAAAAAAAAAAA